CTACAGTGTGCCAGACTTTCAATTGATACTTTCAGCCAACTCTTCTTTGTGGTCTTATCACTGGGAAAGCAAAGTGAGCCCTGGCCAGTGTGGCTCTGTTGCGCATTGTCCCATGCACCAAGAGGTCCCTGGTTCCATTCCCAGAATACATTCCCTGCTTTCTAGATCGATCTCCACTAGGGGGCGTTCAGGAGGCAGCTGATCAATGTTTCGCACTTCAATGTTTTTCTCCCTTTCCCTTTCTGTCTCTAAAATCAATAAAAACATATTTGGGGGGAAAAAAGCAAAGCGAAGTTATCCTTAAAAAATATTGAAGCAGCTTTCTCACCCCAGACAGGAAAGAGAACAAGAATTGGCTAACCAGAATAGCCATTCAAATAGAGGCCTTGTTGTCCCAGGAGTCCTTGCACTGTGGAGATCTTAGCAGTGAGTGGAGTTTATCATGCCCTGAATTATATTTGAAAAGTAATTGAGTTGGCAGTTTATCATCATCCACAGGGCTTGACAGAAAAAAAAAGCTAGAGAAATACTGTCGGTTCAAACTGAAAAAAAAATCAAGAAGTTAAAATTATCAATCAAGATAAAGAAAATGTGGTATATCCACACAATTGAATATTATTAGTCAACCTTTAAAATGAATGAGGTTCTGGCACATGCTACAATATGGATGAACCTGAAATCATTACACTAAGTACAATAAGCCAGACCCAAAAGGACAAATACCATATCATTCCACTTATATGAGGTACCTAGTGTAGTCAGATTCATAGATACGGAAATTAGGATGGTGGTTGCCAAGGGCAGGGGGAATAGGGAGCTATTGCTTAATGGGGAGAGAGCTTCAGTTGGGGAAGATGAGAAAGTTCTGGAGGTCAGTTGCACAACAATGTGAATGCACTTAACACTACTGAACTGGACATTTAAAAATGACCTATCATATTGAGATTTTTTATGCAAGTTTAACATTGCAATTTTCCTCCCTATCTATGATAATAAAAGCGTAATATGCTAATTAGACCAGACTTACTTCCAGACAAAGCTGGGCCTGCGAGGGAAGCCCGGGTCCTGGGTGCCAGAGGGAAGCCAGTGTTGGCAGCCAGGGGAAGGAAAACCTACGCTTGCACAAATTTCGTGCACTGGGCCTCTAGTTATATTTTAATTGGATATATCTGTTCTTACCCTGAAAACCTTGTCTTAACATAATGCAACAGAAAGCTATTTGTCTGCAAATATAGTTTATATAGCTTTGTAATTTTGTACCATTATCATAGCATTGGTCTTTTTAAAAAATATATATTTTATTGATTTTTCACAGAAAGGAAAGGAGAGGGATAGAGAGTTAGAAACTTCGATGAGAGAGAAACATCGATCAGCTGCCTCCTGCACACCTCCTACTGGGGATGTGCCTGCAACCAAGGTACATGCCCTTGGCCGGAATCGAACCTGGGACCTTTCAGTCCATAGGCCGACGCTCTATCCACTGAGCCAAACCGGTTAGGGCAACATTGGTCTTTTTGATGAAGGATATAAAGGGTATCTACACTGATATTTGTTTGTTTTTCTATGGAGTCTTGTGATGGACCTCTGAGCAATATTGTGGGACTGGTCACTTACCTCAAATGATAAAATTTAGAGGAGTTTGGTTTGTGCAAGTGAGTGCAAGCACACAGGTGGTTATGCCTCTGTATACACACACATACATACACACCACCACCACCATCACCACCACTACCGGCCAAGATTAAGCTACATCGCCTTAATACACCTGGATCAATTTCCTTTGATTCCCTTCTCAGTCTGTATGTAAGCCAGGTAGTGTGTTGGGCATCAGTATGACCAATTAATTCAAACTATTGCTCTGATGGGGGAGTTGTTGAGTAGTATAGACGCAGTCTTTTAAAATAACATCCATTTGAATTGTAAAGAGATGGCTTTAGTTGAATATTGTTTTAAAGGCAGTTTTAAAGCTAAACAGTGTAGAGCTTATATACTAATTCAGATGTGCTTAATTAGCCCTGGCTGGTTTGGCTCAGTGGATAGAGCATCGGTGTGCAGGAGGCAGCTGATTGATGTTTCTCTCTCATCGATATTTCTGACTCTATCCCTCTCCCTTCCTCTCTGTAAAAAATCAATAAAATATATTTTTTAAAAAGATGTGCCTAATTAGTATACAACACTGTTCAGCACTATAATTTCTAATATAGTGTTAGACAAACATATTTTAGCAAAAGACAATTTTTAAAATGCTAAAATGGTTAGCCTGACAATTTAAATTGTTAAATTATACAAGTAGGATAATCTTGGGGAAGTATTCACTAGGTAAATGAGAAATTCTAGGAAAACTTATTCTCTAACCAGGCTTTTAACAGTTTTATTGATATAATTCATATACCATAAAATTCACCCTTTTAAAGCATACAATTTGGTGGTATTTAGTATATTCACAGAGTTGTGTGGCCCTCACCACTTCCTGATTTTAGAAAATTTTCATCTCCCCCAAAAGAAACCCTGTACTTGCTAGCAGTCATTCCTCATTTCTACTCAGGTTTTTAACTGAGAGTAAAGTATATATAGGTAATTAAATGGTAATTCTTTTTTCTGTAGTAACCATAGAGAATAATTCTGAGATAAGGCAAAGATTTTTTAATTATCACTCTAATTAAACACTGAGTAAGTCTTGGTTAAAATAGAGAAGGTTATACTCATAAACTCACTATGGATTTTCCCGTTATTTTCTTTGTAGAGACAAGATCAAGACTAATAGAACTTTCTAGAGAACTGAATGCTCTGGTCCTCTCTGTGAAGAAAGATCATCTTCCGCAAGTCAACCTCTGAGCTCCTTTCCTCTACCAACTCTGAGTGTGACACCATAGTTATTCTAGTACTGGACTTTTCTCAGAGAAACTTCCATGTAGCTACTTGAGATCTTCCAACTAGTGTAGTAAATTGAGTACCTTTATAGTATGTTGTGATTTGGTTGGTGCCTGTCATAAGAGAGCACAGAGCCTCGTGAGCGCTCTCGTGTCCTCATACCTCTCTCCTCATTACCATAGAGTCAAGTGTCTACAGTGTCCCCTGGGTTCTAAGCTCCCTCCTCATCCCAGATACAGATCTCTACTGTTGTACTTTGTGACCAAATACCATGTTTGTCCCAAACCACTGACTAAGGCCTGGGGAATTGAAGACATTAGCTGAGCGATAATTCAATCCCAGGGCCTTTCTCACATGCATCACTCCTCGCTCTCTGATGGAGAGTTTTGCCTTCTGCCATCTGATCGTATTCTCATTGTGAGGTGTGTGTACTCCACGTTTAGTCTTTGATGCATTTGTTTTATATTAAAATCCACGTATGTGCTTCTATTATGTCCATTAAGCCGTTCCAAAAGTTGTCTTGGAATTTTTCACTTAACTGCTTGGCTTCAAAGATCTTAAGTGAAAAACTACCTTCTGGTCACTGTCAAGTTTGTAAAGAGTGGGAAGTAGAGCTTTTATGCTTATGTAAACTTTCTACTAACCTAATACTGTACCTTTGTCATATGATACTGCTTTGTAGTTTTCTAAGGAATTGGAAGTCCTTGTGTGATGTACTTCACTAATTGTAAAATAGACTAAGGGTAAAGTTCTTTCTACTTTATTTTGGAAAATACCCTACATCTTCATCATTTTCATTTTCATGAATTTTAGCCAGTTTTAGAATTGCTGATCTGATTTTCACAATCATTTGCTTTTGGCTGAGAGTTGGAATTGGCAGAGGACTTAAGGTGAGGGAAAAGGAGCCGTTATTATTGCCCCATAGAAATGGAAGCTATCGGAGAGTCTGGATTACAACCCGCCACTTACATAGCTTCACGGGGTGTGTTTCTTTCATTTCATTATGCGCTAGTTCCCTTCATCTTTAGAAAGAACTCGCTCATCTCTTCCATCCTCAGAGGATCTCATCAGAGACGTCATAATCAGTTAGGTAAAAGAAAGGCCACTGTACATCCAAGACAGGAATGACAAGATGGTCTTTATGGAGGCTGAGTCAGTGTCTTGGGATAGGGCTTTTCAACCGGATTATTTCCTTGTGTAAAAAAATGTAGAAATAGTGGTTCTTTGCATTTAAAAGCCCTGGCTTCCTTATACATGTTAGCTAGTATATGAGTATCTTCCTAGGCCACTATTTCTAACATACTCCTGCCTTGTTCTGTTTCACTGTACTTGAGGCATGCTCTTTGATTGCGATGCCCTTACAGCAAGATCTGTGTAAAGGTTCAAGATGGAAGATAGGGTATGGGGAAATCCTCTCACATTCCTCCCTTTACCGATCTTTTCCAAAAGAAAAGATTTTTTTCCAATGTTTTAGCGACTTCATTGGTAGTCCTTTAATAATATGCTTTCTAGTTGACTCGTATCCATCTGACCCAAGTACAATCTTGCCTCCTATTTGTTTTCTGCATTAAGAATTTAACTTTGCTCCCAACATAACCATGAGCAGAGTTTCAGGAACATGTGGCATTCTCACAGTTTAGTGACCCAATATTCATTTATCGTTTTTGTTGGCTATGCATGATTCTTTGAACTTCCATGCATCCCGTTGGCTGTTTGATGGGTTTGTTTCTGAGCAAAATGGTCAGATGTCTATAAGTTGTAATATAAATAGGCATTGACCCCTTTCCTGCGAAATTCATTTAGTTCCCTCAATTCTATTGTTTGGATTTCATTGACTTGATTTTATTTTAAGTATTTAGAAACTGTGTCTACTATTTGGAACAGTGCCAGGCACATAGTAGGTGCTTAATAAATATTAGTGGAATGAAGGAATGCAAATTGAGAGACACTAACCTTGGGTGGAGGGCAACATCTTTAAATTCGTAAGCTAGCTTTTGTTTCCAAATTAAAAATCGTTGCATTCAGGAGCTGTGGAGGTACTGAATTTCTTATTCATAGTGCTAAGCAGTGACCTTGAAATGTAGAGAGATGAAAGAAAAGAAGTAGGGATGGATCCACAGAAGGTTTCTGATCCTTTCTTTGTCTTTAAATATTCATTTTGACTCCTTAATACAGTGGGTTCTTTCCATCCAACTGAGTGGCATGGTTTTATGGCCTTTCTTGTAGATTCCAAAGAACTTTCACTCACACACAGAATCCCTTGATCCTTACCATGCCATGAGGTGGACCATGCAGGCATTATCTCTGTTTTTATGAGTCCCAAAGCAGTGCAGTGTTTGCCAAATGGCATGGTAAGTGAATGGAAAAAACCAAAGAGAGTAATGGGTCTCCTTATTCCTAGACCTATACACTCAACAATGCACCAGGTAATTAGTATTATCCTTGTTTGAGTGTGTGGAGAAGATAGAAACCAGTTTTTCTATAGTGCAAGAGAATTCCATTCAGTTTTCATTTTGGCTTGGTTAGTTAGAGGAGCCAATCGAATAGATTTGGCAACTTTCACTGAGGAAGATTGGCAACTTTCACTGAGGAAGACAGGCAACTTAAAGTGCAAGGCAGTCGGTAATTGCTAGAGTTATTTAGATTTGATTTTATGTTTGAATGAACTCAGTGCTCTCTGCCAGCCATTCACACAAAGACTCCTCATTTGAGAGTTGATGATTTTATCTTTTGGAGGACTGTTTGCAGCCTCATTTAGATTTTCTCGCTTGTTTACAAATGTTACAGTTCCTTATGTTCAGTAACTTGGCTGCCTCTCAGGTTCTTGGGTCACATCCTTTGTCCCTCCATTCTTTGGGCACCTCACTTTATTGTCTTCTAGTGTCTGCTGGTACTGAGCCAAGTCTAGATCTTTCATCCTCTTTGCTAGGTGACCTGCTTGATTGTCTGCGGTACTTGCGATTTCTTGTTTATTCTCGAATTCAGTAACTTCATTCGAGTATGTCTCAGAGTTGACAGTCATCTGTTGGCTTTTTCTGGTTCTCAATGAGCATTAGATATTGACATTTGGGCCTAACAGTATTTCTTTTTAAAAAAAAAATATTTTTATTTACTTTAGAGAAGAAGATAGAAGGAGAGAGTTAGAAACATCAGTGATGAGAGAATCATTGATTGGCTGCCTCCTGCACGCCCTCTACTGGGGAGTGAGCCTGCAACCCGGGCATGTGCCTTGACCAAGAATCGAACCTTGACCTCCTGGTTCATGGGTTGACGTTCAACAATTGAGCCACACCAGGCGGGTTTGACTATTTCTCACTGGTTTATTTGTTCTCTTCAAGTTTGTACCAGCATTGGCTCTCTGTTAACTGTCCTTCACATTTATCTTTCATTCCATCACTGTCATCTCGTCTTTTTTCCTGCGGTGGGATTTCTTTCTCTGCTCCCAACCTTCCATCTCACTGACTCCGTTTTCTGTAGTGTTGATCCTAGGTCTTGATGCTTGCAATGTGGCTTTCACTTCTGCCTTGGGTTTATTTTTTTTTCTCTGTTTCTTTCCTTAGCTCTACCAGGTTTTTTCTCTCATCATGTTGTCCTCTTTGGCTCCTTCTTCTGTTACTTTGGAGGCTGAGCTCTGTTGTCTACATTGTTGGGGTTTCTGAAATCATTCTCTTTCCACAGTATGTTTATCTGTCTTTTGTTTCATTCATTCCTTTTCTTCTGTGTTGCTTTGCTTCATTATTGTGGCACAAGTATCATGACGGTCTTTTCTGCTTATTATTCTTCATTGCATGGGACCAGTTCTATCTGCCCAAGAAGGGTATGGAGAAATCCTCCTTGACTCCTTTCTCAAGTAAGAAGAGTTTGAATGATCACCTTAGCACTTGAACTGTAAGGCCAGATCTTGATGGTCTCTAACGATGAGGCTGTTGTTTTGCTTTTCATTCTGCTCTCTGGATATGGGGGAACAGGGAATGCATCAAAGCCCCCTTGGGCCGTGTTGTCTGTGAGTGCCTCCCGTGGACACTGTGAGATCCTCTGCCCAGGAGTAGCCATGTCCCACTGAAGAAGAGGTATTCCCCTTGACTTTCCCCATTTCTGCTAGATGTCGCACTAGCAGGAGTGCAGTAGGTTTGTACTTAGGCTCTGCTGGAGTCTACGTACAGCAGGTCCTCGAATAACATCGTTTCATTATAACATTGGTGAGGTGCCGTAGGAACTTAGCTCTTGTTTATATTAGTTAGCCTATGGGAAAATTGCTTTTGTTTCACATCGTTTCACGTCAAGCCAAAGACCCTATCAATGATGTTCAGTGAGGACTTAGTGTAGTCAGCATTTGTGGCTCCTGAGTTAGTTTCTCTCCACTGCACACAAATGGTGCATCTGAGATCAACCTCCCCTCTTAGGTTTGCTTTTGGAAGTGCGCCCATACAGTATGCACTCAGCTTCTCCTGCCTGCCGCCAGTCCTTGTTTCTCCAAGTTCAGAAGAAATGATTGGTAGAGAGTCCTTTGGAATGCTCTCAGGAACAGCCCAGGAACTGTGGCTTGCTTGACCAATTCAAGAACCTTCCTTTGATGAGTCCCCAACTTCATTGGATCTGTCAGACACTCCCCTCGAGTCTTTGGTATGTGGTGGTAGCTTTTATTAGTTTCCTTATAGGCAGCTTTTTCAGTTTTTGGTTGTGTGTATTGAAGGGCAGGAGCACTTAGATAAACATGCATTTATTCTGCCATCTTTCCCAGTGGCCTGGGTGCTTAAACATTAACTTTGAAGAGAATGCCCTTCATAACCATAATCTATGTTAGTAAACAGAAGGACCCAATATCGCTAACAGAAAGAAGCTTTAATAACTTAATCAATATGGGATTTTTGTTTATTGTTCTTAGTGGGAAGATAACTTTTAACTCAAATTCCCATTCCAATGATTAGAGATAGCAGTGCCTTCTGGTTTGAAAGTAAGGGACATGTGACATTTTAATGAATGCAAGATGTTATCAGCCATTGACAATTATTTATTAGTTAGTTAAATATGATAGAATATTTCAAGCAAGCGTATAATGAGAGTTACCAAGATAAGTATAAACTATTTCTT